GCGAAGTGCCGCGAGGTGTCAGCAGTGTGCGCGATTGAACGCAGCAGAGTGCGATCTGTCTCGCGAAATGCCACGGCCCAAAAGTGGCAGCGCGTGCCTCCTGTCGCTGGTGACGGCGATTCGGCGTGTGTGAGTCGTGTGTACGATCCGTGTTCTTCTCTGAAATCCCCCCTTTCTCGTTCCCCTCGAAACCGGCGATTCCGCACCGCGGCGAGTTTCTCCCTTCCGGTGTATACGTGTGCGAACGGGGACCGCGTGTGTGTCCGCATGAGAGCCCGTGGTCCGCATCGTTTCGAACGTTCACGTCGATCGAGTCGGTGACGGCGGCGAGTGCAGCTAGCTTTCGGGCGCGGCGTCTGCGATTCTCCGAATCTTTCGGCAAGGACACGGAAAAGTAAAAACAGTGGCACTCGAGAGACAGGTGTTTATCATCTCGAGCCTACCGTACGGCGCCAGAGTGAGAGAGAGAGAGAGAGAGTGAGAGAGGGGAGAGACAGAGGGCAAACAGAGACACTGCGGACACAGACGTTGCGGGCGAAAGAAAAAGGTTATCGGACACGCGACGAAGACACGCAACGTGTGTTACGCGAACCGCCGCCAGGAAGGGACGCTCGATCCGCTCGTGGTGGTTTTCTCTGACTCGTGTACGCGTTTTCACGGTACCGCGGGTTTACGTCGCGCCGGGTAGAACGGTGATTTTTTCTCGCCGCCATATTTGTACCGCCGTCACATGCAACCTGTTGTTTTCGCTGCGTCCTCGTGTCGTCGCTGAGATCGCCAGCCGGATATACACTCGGTGAACCGTGTGCGTACACGGGAACGCGGGAGTTCACTTAACCTAACATCGGCCCCGGAGAGAGAGAGAACCGTCAACGTGGCCATCTACCATCAGGATGAACGGGTGAGTTTGTGCACATGGGAATTATCGACGAGTCCGTACGTGTCGCTGTGTGCGTGCATTCGCCTACAGCACTGCCACGTTAACTGGCCGAGTCGGGGGCCTATCTGGCCACTTATCGAGGGAGCTGTCGTTCCGAGCGCCAGCAACGTACCAACATATATTTACTTATTTTCCAGCCTAGTAGTTTATTTGTATCGCTCAATCGATAATCTTGGTAAATTAATAAGTTACCAGCTCCTTTTTTGTTTACTACCTTACCACGGTAAATTTGCCGCCATTGTAGTAGCCGACTGCGTTAATAAGTAACGAATTGTAGGTTATAGAACTTTTCCTTACAATTTTAGACGTCAGTTTTGTTTACTGTCAATTTTCTTATCTCAATTTTACACTATCCAAGTGTACGAATAATCGCCAATTACAATTTGACTGTAGAGAGTACAATTTCAAGTGAAATAATCAACTAGCTTCTATACAATTTAGGAAACTTACTCGTGGAATAATTTATATTTTATTGTCAAACTATTCTTATCTACGTAGCTGTATTAATAGATAGTAAACGGATATAGATTTCTTATTTACAAAAAGT